ATGATGCTTGAAACAAATGAGAGCGAAGCTGAGGACGTACTCAGGTTGCCCCAATTTATGGGGGAAAGGTCTGAAAGGTTTCCAACAAACATTGTACCCACCAACAGGTCGAGGGGCCTGCTAGATTTCCAGGGAGGAAGTCGTCCATGTACCAAACACACATGTTTTGCCAATCGCGGTGACTCCGTCTGAATTCGGCTTCCCCTTTAGCAGCAATGGGATGTCGAAGCCAAATCGTGTCACAGTCCGCCTCAAATCACTGTTTGGTTTCCCGTTGAAACCGACCAAAAGTGCATTTTTCCCCTCAGACCGTCTTTTCCCCGACGTCCTGAAGCCTCCTGCGACCGCTTTCTTGGTTTTCCAACGGAAGCCAAAAGGATTTCAGTCATCGGACCCAACTCGACCATTTGGTAAAGTTTAATCCTTTTGGGCCACCGAAGACGACGACACCAAGCTCAAAGAGCTCTTTGAATCGAGGCCATTTGGAAATTCTACAGGACAAAACATTGTTCTCTTTGGCAACTTTGGACTTCCCGTGCCTGGAAGCGTTTGTTGTTTTGTTTTTCTCCTGGTGGCGTCTCACTTGATGTTTCTTTTCGCAGCGGTGCGAGTCGTCGGCACCCCGAGGCGAGCTCGTGGATTTGTCTGGTTTCTGTTGAAAGGTCGGGCTTCAAAAATGAAAGTTAGAGCTCCAGGAGCAGATCCGAAATTCTGAAGGCCTTTGACCCCCAAAAATCTCAAATAAAAAGGTCTTGGGACTCCTTGGAAAGGGAAGCTGTGGGAAGCCAGGCATTTCCAGCGGATTTCCGTGGGTTCCATCTTTCTTTCACATCCACGAGCCTCGAGGGGCAGCAGAAGCTTTCGGATCTCCTTCCGATTTCGAACCAGATCTGACTTAAAACCTGGGGAGTCCGAAAACTTGCTGGTTGCCAACGGGGAATAAGGGAATGAGCCCTGTAAACCCATCGCCTATGGTTTCCTTTAAGGGAACCGCTAGGTTCATTCCCAAAACTCCTACTGCAAAAGGTTTCCTCTTGGTTTCCCTTCAGAATCAGCCTCAACAAAAACAGGACCCCTCCCTTTCAGGGTTGCCGAGCTTCAAGAAAAAGAACCCCCCCCCCAAGCATACCGGGTCTCAAAAAAAGACTCACCCTCTCTTTCTGCTGGCTGACCTTTCAAGCAGAACTCGGAACCTCCCCCACCGAAACCATCCATTTTGGCGGGCCAAGCCTCTCAAACGGGGATCCCTGCAAAAGAGGCGGAATCTTGCTGCACGCAGCTCGTAGAAAGAGACCAAGTAGCCAAGTCACGAGTGTTTTGGGCTAAACAAGCAGAATTCACACCCCTGCGAAGCTAACATATCCCAATTGTCTGACCGAGACGCTTTCACAGGACACAATCACTTCCCATCGATTGGCCTGAATAAGTCCTAAAACTGTTTGCCTAATTGACCACTAAAATGGTCTTCCCAAAACCTCAGGACGCGAGTAACACAAACACTTTACCCTTGTGTTTTTGTCATCTTGTGGAAGCGGCGCTCCTGAACGCTGGTGCGCCGGCCCCGTTCTTTCACGCAGAAGGGCCAATCGAATAATTTGCTCTAATTGCTGTTTCAATGGCAACCACCATCAGCACCCCCCAACAACTGCTTTTTCCCATGTCCAGCATCCCAAGCAAGGACTGTCAAGGCTGACACTGCCCCCAGGGGCCTTTCCAATGACGAATTCAGCATTTCTGGGGAGGACTGGCATCAAAAGACCCCACGCAGTAGCAGCCAAGCAAACTATCCTCCCCCACAACCCGGACAATTTGCGGTTCTCACGGGGCCTACGCAGGGCTTCTACATGCAGGGGCCCCTTCGTCATGAATAGAACCGGGCGCCGCTCAGCAGGGTGGTTTCCCTCGAGCACAACAATAAAATGCTCGGTGGCGAAATCTGCTCCCCTGCTAAAAGTTTATAACTTTTGGTGGTTTAGCTTAATGGAGAACCCATGAGCTGGCAAAAAGTATCAGTCCTAACATCCAAGCACAATGCCCCAAAGAGTGATTTGTCGGATTTTATATGGCTCCTCAGGGTCCGGATTCCGAATTCCGAATGCCCACTGGACACCCCCCACCACTGGAGCTTGCCGCTTCTCCCGACTCCCGGAAAGCTCTCCTCCGCATAGAGGGCCAGCTGCGCCGTCTCCTGCTGCCACCTCGAGGCGTCTGCGGGGGGCCGCACCGTCTGCCGCAACAAATGGTCCTGCCAGAAACTCGCAACATGAACAGCAGGTGCAGACCAGAGAAATGATGGCATCCGACATGCCAAGAGCGAAAAAACACCGTGTGAGACACTTCATGAAACAGACAACCGCAGGGAAAAATCATGTTCCCACAATCCATCCATCGTGCATCGAGCGGGCAGCGGGCAGCGAGCGCCTGGGACCTTGAAAGCCTTAGGTCCCGGCCGCACGCGGGTAGAACTGGCCGAAAACCGAAAAGGACACCCAAAAGTGTGCGGTTCCTGAAAGGGAACACAAAGTGGCACCCGACAATTACCTGGATTGTTGGAAATAGCTGGAAAAGGAGATGTTCTGATTGGCCCAAATGCATTCAGCGAGCCTGCTAAAACAGGGCAGTACTCTACAGCTGGTAGAAAAACGTACCAAACCCTTCAACTAACACCTATCAGGAGAGACCATTCGTTCCTTGGGGTCGTGTGGCTCTGCTCACTCCAGCTTCTGTGCGAGAGCAAGTCGCACCGGAAGAATCAGCGACGTGCAAATCGTGCCATTCATAGGTGTCCTTTTGGGAAAATAGATGGCCCTTGTAGTTGATTGAACCACCAGGTAAACCAGGGCCCTCTATTTTTCGACCAAATCAACCAAAAAGGACGGTCCGATTCTCTTCGTCTCGCGGAAACTCACAAGAAAAGCACGGGGGTGCGTAGCACGCAAGGTAATGTCTTGTTGGCAGTGCGCACCCCTTAAACACCCCGCCGGGAACTCCTGTCGGTGGCAAGGGGCCAAAATTGGACACGTGGTATCTGATATCCCCTAAAACCCTCTTATTGGAACTGGTTCTTCCCTGCTCTGGTACTAGGTTTTTAGATGTAAGGGGCGGGGGGGAAATTGGAAAAGTGTGTTCCTGCATTTTGCAGGCCCCTTGCAGGTCACCAAGACCACCCCCAGGCCACCGGTAGGGAAATCAATCAATGGAAAGGACTTCCAGTACAGAAATGTAGGAAATGCGCCTCATTCACCCTCAACTTTGTGGCAGGATTAGGGGGTTACCCTTCCGCGTAGCACTGGCAGCGCTGAGCACTAGTAAGCAAGTAAGTGGGCAAAAGAAACATTTGCTTGGTCATGATCTTGTGGGTCCAATGGAACATCTACTGTTTCCCAAAAAGTGGAAGTTCAAAGATCCATTGCCGAATAGCCATAACATGAGGAGTTCGCCTCTGATCAGCGTCCGTCGGAAAGCCAAGCAGTCCGCACAAAATGGCCACTGGGAGGCTCCAGTTTAAAAAACCAAACCAACAAAGCACATGCAGCTCGCAGTTCTTCTCGATGACTAAGTTTCCGCGATTGCTGTCAATGCCGGCTCGAAACTCTAACGTTCAGGATTTGAGCAGGACCTCAGGAGGATTCTTGCAGAACTCGACCGAATTGCTTGGCCAAATCCACGGACATTCGGGGAATGGCATGAAGCGGTGTGGCGCGCCGTGGCGCGTCAGCCGTGTGGGCCGTGATTGCTACTTGGAGGGTGTCAAAGGTGATCAGACAAAAATGCTGGCGCCAAGAACCCTGCGCACATCACAAAGTAGGGCCTTTCTCCGACGTGTACATGTATGAATCTAGCACGTTCACTCCAATCTGGAACGCAAGGGGGGTGCCGCAACACCAATGTCCTCCTAATAGGAGGACCCTTCTGCCAGGTTCTCCTTTCGTGGCAAGGGGCGCTTTTTCTTGTAGCCAGAACAGCTTAGCATGTAGTTTCACTCCCGATGCATTTAGTGATTGTCGGCTGCCAAAGGGCCTCTACCGCACTCCCTGTTGCATGGTCATACAAAACAATCAAACAGATTATGAAAAGCAAAGGTCATGTTATAGAGGACACCCAGCAAGCCAGACGTAACAATGCTTGCACAGGTGCTTACCCCGCAGTTTAGTTAATTATTTACCACTTCTGGAGTAAGCCACTTGTGGAGTGGGTTGGTCCTCAAAGCATCCTGCCGCAAAACAAGCAAGATCCCTCAACAAACTGGTCCTCCAAAACAGGGCGTCGCACATCTGGATGTCCTACACGTTTGGATTCGAGGTGCCTTTAATCAACGTACTTCTGGCGGCAGATGCCCCAGAACGCGTTTGTCCCTTGCATTTATTAATGCACATTATTATATGCCTATATCCTCTATACAGGGGTGGTGCCAGCAGTTCAGTTTGGAAAACATGTTTGGTCGGGGCACGCCGAGAAAAGAAGCCTGTCAGAAAGTTGATATCTCCCTGTCGTCGCCCCAGAAAAAACAGAACTCGAAAGGTAACAAAGGTGATATTAGGTGTAACCATCAAACCACCAACCCAACCAAAGGAATCAGATGAATGACCATTGGGAAAATAGTAAAAAGACTAAACGGACAAAAAAAGCACGTTACCCATGAAGGGAAACCCCAAAAAAGCGACATACCGCGACTGGATTGTCGTTATCTCAACCGGACTCCTCGATCTCCTCCAGCAACTCCGGCAGCCGGCTCTCTTTGGGCGGCTCCGACTGCGGGCGCTCCCGTTCTCGGTCTCGTGGGCCTTCCCGCTCCCGAGCACCTCCGGTACGAGGCGAAGCCAGTACCCGGGTCGGGGAGGCAACCACTGCGGGGTTTTGGACATGAAAAAATCAGTTGTTGGGTGCTGTCATGGGCGAGCTTGTTTTAACTTCAGGAAAGTGTGCTGGTACCTCACCAGGGTACGCAAAAACCGGATCATGGGTGAGCTTCTTTTAACCCCGTTTGTTGTGGTACACGAATCCCGGATCCAGAAAACCTTGGTGGACTATAGCACTTAATATGTATTGTTGGAGGGCCACGCCCTGCACCCCCCCCCCCATTTACTCGGGGCGAACATCTATAAGCCCAAGCAGTTCACAAAGCCCCACCCCCGGCCCCCCCCGGCACTGCGTCCTTTCTCAGCTTCCTTATCAGCCCCTTATGCTACAGGAGGGCTTGCATACTCCTGCTGACCTTCAGCGCACTCCACGGCCGGCGTTGGCAACCAGCGAACGAAAGTGGCTTGATTGCTCTTTTGTTTTTTGGGTGGTTTTTGTGTAAAAGCCATTACCCTAAAGGAGGAGGTTACGAAATCATGTCGACTTCGGATTCATCCGGACCATAGTAACCAGGGGTGCACCATCCCATTTTCGTAGGGCAATGATCTATTCTAGGAGGCTTCCCTTGCTAGTGAGGTTTTCTGGATTTATCCGAAGTCAACATTAGACCCGGGCTCAACACTGGCCTCAAGAGTTTACCTTGAATAAGTTTCACCCCTATATAAAGCTCTGATTTTGATAACCCCTAGGGAGATGCGTGACCAACAACAAGTTTCTGATGGCGAAGAATAGTCATACTTCGACAATCATCTGGCTACTGCTGATTCTGAAAATGGGTCAACCCTAGAGTGACAGCCACCCGTAAAGGGATGGTTCAAAGGAAAACTTCCAACCCCAGTTTTTGATTTTGACAACCCCTAGACTTGTTTGACGTTGGAAGAGGAGCAAACATTTCAACATCTTAGCAGTTAAGTGGCTTTGGATTTCAACCACTAAACCACAGCAAGCAAAAATGGGAAAATGTGTCCCAACAACAACCATGTGCCCAGTTGAAAAGAACGATGGTTGAACGATGGTTGAAAAGAATGGGGAATCAACCCCTAGAACAACCCCAGTTTCTGGTTTCGACAATCCCTAAACGTCAAAACACTGCCCATCCGGACCCCATCTGGCGCCAAGCTGCTGGGTTGCCGCTCCAGCGCTGGCCGCGCCCGCGGCGGAGCCGGCAGGTCCCGAGCAACCGGCTCAGCCGGGACTGGGTCCGTCCAAACGCTGGCGGCAGGCAGAGACCTCGGGTCAAAGAGTTCTACTGGGATCAAGTTTCTGGGCCTCCCTCAGATCCCCCGCCAAAAGCTTTTAACTTTTAGTGGGTTAAATGGAAACTACCACGAAACACTAAAAAGCTGAAAGCTAAGGCGATGGCTGGGGGCCACCAAGATAACTCTCTCTCTCACTCAAACACAAAGATCCCACGCCCTCTCCCATAGTTTTCTCCCGCTTGTCCTCGTCTGCGCTGCTTTACTTCCCCAACTGAAAAAAAAAAAAAACACGGGAACCCCCACCCAGTGAAGATCTTTTGTCATGGGTGAGCTTGTTTGACAAGTAGATCAGCTCGTCTCATTTCTTCCGATTGTCGATGCTTTCTCGAAAGGCTTCTGGGAAGGAGTGGGATTCATGACTGCCAAACTCAAATGAGCACCCGCCCCCCCCACCGTGCACAGTTGGGTGTGCGTGATTTTAAGGCGCCCCCCCCCATTTTGGTGGGTTGTCCCTTTGGTTTGCCTTGAAATGCAACCAACATTGCCTTTCCATGAAAGAATCTCTGCAGGGCCATGTCTAGTGGGGGGATCTGCAAAATATGCAACCCATGCTGGGAAATCTTGCTAGTATCCTGGTTTTCGTCCAACGGACAGATTCAAACTTCAAACAAACGAGTCCGCGAAAGATCTGGACATTGCCAAATAAAACACAATGAAGGCATCCCACACAAAGGAGTCTCCACAGGCAAACGATCGTATACCCACGAAGGTGCAACGTTTTCATTTTTCGCACATGGACATTGAACACATGGAGCTCTTGATGCCCTTGTCGGGTCGGGAAGACACCGCATTTTTTGTCAGGGCGCTGTCACAATTCTCGGGCGGGGCGGGGCGGGAAGTGTCAAATTCGGTGATTTCATTCATCCAAGGACCCAAAGGAAACCCACCCAAAACCGAAAGGACAATAGCTATTTGAGGCCTGGGATCCAGGTCAAGCTGCCCCGGTTGCTGACTTTAAGCCCCAAGAAAGCGTCAATGACCCCAGATCCACTCGGAAAAATATGTGTATTCTGTTTTCTTTGGGCCCCCCCCAAAAAAGCAAAACTGGTTTTTAACACCCTACAATCAGGTACTGTTTGAGGGACCCAGGTGTGGGGGACCCAGGTTTTAAAGGGGTCATTGAAAAGTAAGCCCCTTTGAGATGGGAGCACTTTGAAAACGTGGCCTGCTGCACAAACAATTCGTGTTGTCTGTTGCTCCCGCCATGTCTCTCAAGCCTTTCGGCGTTGCAATGAAAAAGAATGAGGTTTCTTTTTGTATTGGGTAACTATTGACACTGTCATTGACACGTGGAATCAACATGCCCCAAAAACCACACACAAACCCACAGCCACACACACACACACACCGACACACCCACACACACCGACGCACACACCGACACACACACACACACACACGCCGACACACACACACACAGACCCACAAACACACCGACACACACACACACACCGCCACACAGACACACACACACACACCGACACACACACACACACACACACCGACACGCACACACACACACACACACACACACACACACACACACACACACACACACACACACACACACACACACACACACACACACACACACACACACACACACACACACCGACACCCACGCACCAACACACACACACACACCGACACACACACACACACACCGACACACACACACCGACACCCACACCCACACACACACACAGACACACACCGACACACACCGACACACACCGACACACACACCGACACACACCGCGACACACATACCGCGACACACATACCGCGACACACATACCGCGACACACATACCGCGACACACACCGCAACACACACACACACACACACACCTCGACACACACCGCGACACACACCGCGACACACACACACACACACACCGACACACACACACACACCGACACACACACACACACCGACACAGACACAGACACAGACACAGACACAGACACAGACACAGACACAGACACCGACACACACAGAGACACACACACCGACACACACACACACACCGACACACACACACACACACCGACACCCACACACCAACACACACACACACACCGACACACACACACACACACACCGACACACACACACACACACACCGACACCCACACACCAACACACACACACACACCGCGACACACACACACACCGACACACACACACACACACCGACAGACACACACAGACACCGACACACACACACACACCGACACACACACGCACACACACTGACACACACACACACAAACACACCGACACACATGTACACACACGCACCGACACACACACCCACACACCAACACACACACACACACCGACACACACACACACACCGACACACACACACACCGACACCCACACACCAACACACACACACACACACCGCGACACACACACACACACACACCGACACACACACACACACACACCGACACACACACACAGACACCGACACACACACACACACACCGACAGACACACACAGACACACTGACACACACACACACACAAACACACCGACACACATGTACACACACGCACCGACACACACACACACACCGACACACACACACACACACAGACACAGACACACACACAGACACACACACACAGACACACACACACACACACACCGACACACACAGAGACACACGCAGAGAGACACACACAGAGACACACACACAGAGACACACACAGAGGCACACACACACAGAGACACACACAGAGACACACACACACACACCGACACACACAGAGACACACACAGAGACACACGCAGAGAGACACACACAGAGACACACGCAGAGACACACACACACACACCCAGAGACACACACAGACACACAGACACACACACACACCGACACAGACACAGACACAGACACAGACACAGACACAGACACAGACACAGACACAGACACACACACACACACCGACACACACACACACACCGACACACACACACACAGACACACACACAGACACAGACACAGACACACACAGACACACACACACACAGACACACACACAGACACACAGAGACACACAGAGACACACAGAGACACACAGAGGCACACAGAGACACACAGAGACACACAGAGACACACTAAGACACACTAAGACACACAGAGACACACACCAACACACACCGACACACACCGACACACACACACACACACCGACACACACACACACACACCGACATACACACACACACACACCGACATCCACCCACCGACACCGACACCCACACACACCAACACACACACACACACCGACACACACACACACACACACACCGACACCCACACACCAACACACACACACACACCGACACACACACACACACACAGACACCGACACACACACACACCGACACCCACACACCAACACACACACACACACACCGCGACACACACACACACACACCGACACACACACACACGCACACCGACACACACACACACACAGACACCGACACACACACACACACACACACACCGACACACACACGCACACACACCGACACACACACACACAAACACACCGACACACATGTACACACACACACACACCGACACACACACACACACACACCGACACACACACACACACACACAGACACAGACACACACACACAGACACACACACACAGACACACACACAGACACACTGACACACACAGAGACACACGCAGAGAGACACACACAGAGGCACACACACAGAGACACACACAGAGACACACACACACATCGACACACACACAGAGACACACACAGAGACACACGCAGAGAGACACACACAGAGACACACGCAGAGACACACACACACACACCCAGAGACACACACAGACACACAGACACACACACACACACCGACACAGACACAGACACAGACACAGACACAGACACAGACACAGACACAGACACACACACACACACACACACCGACACACACACACACACACAGACACACACACAGACACAGACACAGACACACACAGACACACACACACACACAGACACACACACACACAGACACACACACACACACAGACACACAGAGACACACAGAGACACACAGAGACACACAAAGGCACACAGAGACACACAGAGACACACACTAAGACACACTAAGACACACTAAGACACACAGAGGCACACACCAACACACACCGACACACACCGACACACACCAACACACACCGTGCGCACCATGCCCAGCCCTCCAGAAAACCGCCCCCTGCCCTCCCCCCAGACACACGCACACACACACACACCATACAAATGTTTTTGTCACCATGTGACAGTTGTGACTCGCAACCCTTGCAGGCAGGGGGGAAGGAGAGCAGGCCCGCCCTCCATCACAAGCATCACCAGCACCCCAAGCCAACCGCGACAGGCGTTGAGGAGTGGTTTCAAGTGGATTTGAGGACCCGGATCTGGGTCCCCCCCCCCCTAATTGCCGTAAATTCTCAGTAAATTGGGTAGAGAACCCAGCTCCGCAGATGCACTCAAAACCAACTTCAAATTCCACTCTAGCAGTCCCCCTCCCCCTTCCTTAACAGTGAGCCTCACCACGCAAACAACAGCACTGCCTGCATCAGTGCCAGTGGTGTCACCCAGGAACCTTGTTGCCCGAACTGGCCACCCCAAACCATAACAAGTCTCAGGCTGAGCCACAACAGCAAAATGCAAAATTGAAAAATACTATATCGGGCAGAGCTGCTCATTCCATCCAATATGGGGCCTTTCATTCCTGCTTCACTTCCAATTTTAAACCGGAACCGAACAGTGGCAAGGAAGGGACCTCTACGCTGAACGTAGTCAGCGCACACATAGTCTCCCACACTCACACCAGGTGTTGCCACGCAAAAGGTCACTTGGTCAGTTGGAGTGCTTGGAGTCAGTTGGTGTGGTTTGAACGCATGCTCAAAAAATTAGCAATTTATGCTGTAAAAATGGATGTAAATCTTGGTATTTGAAGCTGGGTGGGTTTGAGTGGGTCCTGAGTGGATCTGAGTGGATGTTGGTGGATCCTGAGCGGATTTGAGTTGATTGAGTGGAGCGGTCGAACCTAAATTCTTCATGATTTCCTGGGTCCAGACCCGGGTCCCTACCAAAAACAACCTAAATTCTATATGATAACATGGGTCCAGACCCGGGTCCCTACAAAAACAAGACCTGATACAAACAAACAGAAAACGAGTTCCCTCAGCAGACGCTCCGCGCGCTCCGCGCGCTCCGGTCCTGGGGCTCCGACGCCTCGAACACCTCGCTGCACTGACTGGCGCCGCGGCTGAGGCTATGGCTGCCGCCTAGGGTTTGCCCGCGTGGGCAGTGCGGTTTCTCAGAGACCCATACGTCTGATAGTCTCCTTGATGCTTCGCTTTGCTCAGTTGCGAAATCTGCTCTGCTAAAAGTTTGACCTTTAGTGACACTTGAGTGGTTTAATGGAAGACTTTGGTGGTCTACAAGCCCGATTCGACTCTAAAAAGGGACCCTAAAAACTGGTTTTGCAAACAAGGGTGCTTGAGCGGGTCCTCCATTCAAGGATTGTTTGTAGGGTTGTTGAGGAGTCACCCGGATGGAAAGTTTCTCAGGTTTCTTTGGAGCGCAATGGAACGCCAATCCTGACACTTGCCTGTGCCGAGTGCCACACAGCCAATCATTGCTGACAATTTGCCCTGGATATGCCGTTGTATTTTGTCCAACCCCCCAGCGCAGCCAGTCAAACCCAACTACAGCCCCTCGCTCCAAAACAAACCAGCTCTTAGGACGAAGTTCCCCAGCTGGCTTCTTTCGACGTCCTCGAATGTTGTATCCCCGGACCCTGGAACCTACCCTTCACCTGACTTTGACACATGCACAAGTCAGGTACGTTGATGTCTCGCCACAGAGTCTGGGCTCTCCTTTTTGCATGGCGGCAGGGAGGACAAAGGGAAACAACTCGTTTTGAGGGTCCTATGTTTGACACCCAGATGCATGCAACGAGGCTTCTGCCCAACACACGGCGAGAAAGTTGGTCTCAGGCAAGTTAATACGACTGCCTTTCTTGCATAAATGTTGTTTGCCTCAGTGCGGCGTTTTGTCCTTAAAGCTGAAGTGGCGGGAGGTGAATCTCTGTAGGCATCCCGAATGCTTGCGCTTGCTGAAATTATGATGCGCTCGCTCTGGAGCAAGTCTCCTCCCAACTTGGTCTTGCCAGAAGACGAACCCTGAGTTTGCAATGACGCACACTCACCACGGTAAACCCTGCAGCATCTGCAGCCAGGTGGGGCTCCGAATGGCTCTTCGTTGCGCCTATGGAGACTGCTCAGCAACCATTGGCACCCCCGGAGTATGAGACGAGCCACTGACAAGCGCTTCAGGCACCGTCGCATGGGGAGAGGATCTTGCCTGCGCAAGCAGCGAAGCAAAGCTGACCCCTGTGGCCCCATGATTTTACCATCAAAGTCACCCCAAACCCAATCACATGTTTGTTTCCAGCGCATGTGAGCGAATCAGATACGAGGGTGTTCAAAGTTTAACCTTTCCCTCAACAAGTCAAGTTAGCTTCGGAGTCATCTGCAGGAACCTGCTCGGCAAACTGCGAATTAGCATGTTCCAGAATAGCTGGGAGTCAGCAGCAAAGGCCAGGAACTTGCACTTAGTAAAAAGGTGGGCCTCATGAAAGGCGATGTTTACAAATACCAAAACTACCATGTCCCTTGCGAACTCCAGGTTGCTCCTTGGCCCCCTGTATAACAACAAATTTGGATACTCCTTGGCTCCTTGGCTCCCAACCTGACCCACCGATCCCGCCAGCACGTTCTCCGAGTTCGAGCGGTGCATGGACCGCGAGCTGGTCAGCGTGCCGCTCCGAAGCTCCGGGGTCCGCACATGGCGCACCGCCGAGGGGCCTGTGCACAGGCCGGTTTCACCAAAAAACAGCCAGGGTTCCACAATAAATAAAGTCGCGCACTCATTTTGGCCGTTGGGTACCCTTCTTCTTGGCCGTTTTAAAGGAAAACGCCATGGATGTTGGGCGAGTAGAGTCAAACAGGTACGTACGTTGTGTGTGTGTGTGTGTGTGTGTGTGTGTGTGTGTGTGTGTGTGTCGGCAAACCCCGCTGGAACCGCTTCCCAAAGCAAAAGAGGAGGGGTTGTAACCACGACAAGGAAACATGTTTGCCAACCACAAAAAGGACATAACCAACCACAACAAGAAACACAACGCAGCGATTGAAAACGAATAATAACCGCAAGCAAATGGAGGAAAATGGAGGAGAATGGAGGAGAATGGAGATGAAATGGAGAAAGGAGGATGGAGGAGAAATGGATGAGGATGGAAGGATGGAGGAAAAATGGAGGCTGGAGGAGGCTGGAGGAAAAATGGAGGAAGATGGAGGAGGATGGAGGAGGAGGAGAGATGGAGGAGAACAGGAGGAGGATGGAGAAGATGGAGGAGAAATGGAGGAGGATGGAGGAGAGATGGATGAGAAGTGGAGGAGGAGACATGGAGGATGGAAGAAGAAATGGAGGAAACGACGGGTGGAGAAATGGAGGAGGATGGAGGAGGATGGCTGAAAAATGGAGGAGGATGGAGGAGGATGGAGGAGAAATGGAGGAGGATGGAGGAATGGACGGAAAATAGTGGAGGATGGAGGAAAATAGAGGAAGATGGACGCAACATAGAGGAGATGAAGGAGAAATGGGGGAATGGAGGAGGATGGAGGAGAGATAGAGAAAGATGGAGGAAAAACAATAGAAGATGGAGGTGGAGAAGAAATGGAGGAGGACGGAGGAATGAAAACAAAGGAGGAAGGAAAAATGGAGGAGGGTGGAGGTGGAAGAGAAGCGGAGGAATGGAGAAATGGTGGAGGATGAAGGAGAAATGGAGGACAATGGAGGACGGAGGAGAAATAGAGGATTATAGAATAGAAATAGAAGGGTTGTAGAAAAATAGAGGAGGATGGAGGAAACATAGAGGAGGATGAAGGAGGAAAAGAGATGGAGGAGAAGTGGAGGAGGGTGAGGAGAAATGGAGCAGGATGGAGGAGGAGGATGAAGGAAAAATAGAGTAGGATGCAGGAGAAATTGAGGAATGGAGGAGACATAGAGGAATGCAGGAGAAATGTAGGATGATGGAAGAAAAATAGGTTTGCGAAAAAATAACAAGAGGATTGAAGACAATTAGAGGAAACACGGAGGAGGACGAAGAAATGGAGGAGGATGGAGGAACAATAGAGCAGGATTGAAGAAACAAACGAAGAGGATGGAGGAACAATAGAGGAAAATGGAGGAAAATAGAAGAGGATGGAGGTGGAGGAGAAACGGAGGAATGGAGGAGAAATGGTGGAGGATGAAGGAACAACGGAGGAGGATGGAGGAGGAGAATCAGAAGAGGCTGTATGGGAAAAAAAGGATGGAGGATGAAGAGTGCGGAAAAATAGAGGAGGATGGAAGAAAAATAGAGGAGGATGAAGGAAACATGAGGAGGCATAGAGGAATGGAGGAGAAATGAAGGAATGGAGGAAATATAATATAGAAGAGGAAACCGACGAGAATGGAGGAGGATGGAGAAATGGAGGAGAAATGGAAAAGGATGGAGGAGGACGGAGGAGGATGAAGCATGGAGGAGAAGTGGAGGAGGATGGAGGAGAAATGGAAGAGGATGGAGGAGAGATGGAGGAGAAGCGGAGGAGGATGGAGGAGAAATGGAAGAGGATGGAGGAGAGATGGAGGAGAAGCGGAGGAGGATGGAGGAGAAATGGAAGAGGATGGAGGAGAGATGGAGGAGAAGCGGAGGAGGATGGAGGAGAAATGGAAGAGGATGCAGGAGAGATGGAGGAGAAGCGGAGGAGGATGGAGGAGAAATGGAGAGAGGAGGAAGAGAAATGGAGAAGAAATGGACAGGGATGGAGGAGAAATGGGGGAGGATGGAGGAAAAAGGATGGAGCCATTTCTCCTCCATCCTCTGGCACTTCTCCTCCATCTCTCCTCCATTCCTCCTCCATCCTCCTCCATTCCTCCTCCATTCCTCCTCCATTTCTCCTCCATTTCTCCTTCATCCTCCTCCGCTTCTCCTCCATCCTCCTCCATTTTCCTCCATCCATCCTCCTCCATGTTGCTCCATTTGCTTGTCGTGATTGTTTGTTTTCAATCGCTGTTCTATGTTCCTTGTTGTTGTTTTTGGTTTTGTCGATGTTTGAACCCTCCCTTCAAAGGCAAAAACGGTGTAGAAAGTGTGTCTTCAAATAAGGCAGCGCCTTGAACAAACCTGTAAAAACAAAGAAAGAACGCTTGGCCTGTTTGGATTTGAAGATTGCACAGCTACCGGTGTTTGGGGAAATCAGCTCTGAACATATACATGCAAGGTTCTCCCTTTGCCCTTCGGCAAATTCTAACGCAAAAGCAAGAATAGCCTTGGAGAGAGGCATGTGTGTTTCTCGTGGGGCGACGGTTCTCTTGTCTCCTGATGAATCGCCGGATTGAATGGAAATATATGGAAATGAAACAGGCACAACAACAACAAGAACTCGTTTTATTTACATTGACCTTCCAACCCCTGAAGGGTTTACTGCGCCTTCATTGTGCAAGGGTTCAATATGTTTGACCCCGACTCCATAGCGAGAGTCATAGAATACGCGTAGACGTTACCTGTTTGCAACACTCCTTGCTTTCCTTTCAAGGGGCCAGCGCCTGATGAAAACATGTCTCATTGCTCAAACCGCTTTGGCGTACAACAAAAACGTCCAAACCTTTCCTTTCTTTGCCACTGGCCGCCCCCAGAAGGAAAAAAAAAGGCCCATGAGCGCTTAAAGTGATGAACACGGGGACGCACCACATCGCGCAAATTGTAGGGCCCGCATCTTGTCAAGTGCGAAAAACGTCCAGGATTGCTTCCATTTTCACTTTCACTTGGGCTTCTCTAAGTAGGGGAGCTTCATCAGACACATGAACTTATACATGAACTTTTTCAGAAACATAGACTCGGTTGCCCAAAGGACCCAGAAATAAAAGGTTAACCGTTTGGGTAAACATTGACCAAAACGAGAAACAAAAAGGTCAACATGTCACATGTCGATTCGCTTTGGGCAAGTGAGTAGAACACTTCTACATGAACCTTCAAAAAAGAGCGGGCATGTTTGTGCCTTACTTACTAACTAGTACATCAATATATGAACTTCATAGAACACACATTGTTACATTGCCCATGTTTCCCCAACATTCGCTTGCCAAGCCAGACAACCACATTTCAATATTTTTGGGATGGTGTTGCATTTGTTCACACTTGTTGTAAAACCTAGAATAAGGAAACATTTGGAAAACCCCTTCATGGTGAAGCTCGAAAAGGACCGCTCACCACATTCGCGCCTGGGCTGGAGTCCAGGTTGGGCGTGGGCACCGACCGCGCCGCGAGGGACCGCGCCGAGCCGCTGCGCGACGCGGGGTCTGCGCAGCCGGAGCCCGCGGTGATGTCTGCCACCCGGACCTGGCGGAGTCTCTGTCAGGGCTCCCCTATGATTTCCCCAAAAAACATCACCCCCCAAGGGGACCTTCACCTTGCATGACTTAAAAAGTGATGTTTACCCCCCTCCCCTCAAAAAAAGGGCCCGGTCTGCTTTTAGAGCGCACTTCAGAATAGCTTCGGTTTTATCCGTTTGGTTCCCTGTAACCTGAAAAACAACAAAACACGTGGTACGCTCAATAAAAACACAACTTGATCTGCAAAATGGCATGCCCTCAGAACCTTGCAGCAAATGTGGACTTCTTTTTCGTCTCCGTTGAAAAGGCACATCAAAAAGACGCATCAGCTTCCCTCATACCTTCAAAAGAAGTGAGATCCCCAATTAAAACCACAAACCCCAAGTTTGCGCTCGCGCGCGCCTGGCCCCGCCCCGGCTGCGGCAGCTTCACTCGGCTCACCACGGGCCGCGGAGGCCCCGGAGACGTGCGCGAGCTCATCGCCTGCGAAGGGACGAGGAAGTGTGGGCCACCGGCCGGGTGATTTGCCCGGCCGAATTGCTTTATGTTTGACACGTTTGTCTGAAATCTTATTGCCAAAAAATATGTTATGATTGTCGAACTTTTATGATATTTATAAATCTATGCAATTTCCTGAAGAAAACGATGTAAACACAAAAAACACCTGTGTGTTTCCACGCATATCCACGCATGATGCGATAGCTGCGCTGCAACAAACTAATAGGGTGCCGGGTGCTGTTTCTGCAATGACTACATTGACTCACAGGCTGCAGTCCAGTGCATTGTTTCCAACGATCCGCAAGGCGCCGGATTGCCGTAGCCTGCCTTGCTATCTCAGCCTTCATCGAACCATGGCAAAAGCGTGTCGGTAACCGCGTCTTGGACCCTGGCATGCTTGATGTTTGCAGCGGGCGCGAGTGTTCTTGTCAGCTCATATGTTGCACAACCTATACTGCAACCGCATGCAAAAGGATCCAGGATGCACGCAAATGCTGACCACCTGAAGCCACACCGGCTGACAAACAAGATGCGAACAAATGATATGCGCCACCCACACCCGTTCTTACCCTTTCCTTGCCCCGTCAAAACGCAAGCAGATGCTGAAGGGGCGCCTGGTCGCTCGCCAGAGTTTTCAGAAAACATGCCAACAATACAATATCAGCTTGCCTTGTCGCGAGCTGGCACCAAGAACATGCGCACTTGTCGACGCAGCTCTCACATCGAACCCTGATTGTTTTCTGTCGATGGGGTAGGTGCGTTCGGCGCGTCTGGTCCATGTTGCTAGCCTTGAATGGCCCACTAGTTCTGGTCTCGAACGGTCGTTCCGCGGAAATGCACGCCAGTTCCCGCTAAATGCAGAAAACTACATCAAGTTGACACAGCCAATCCCTACGCTCTTGCTGTGCAAAAAGATGTACCCACGAAATTTGCAGCACGATTCGCGTGCAAAACGGAAAAATCACGTTGTTTCATGCGTCGGCGGGCAACACAACAACGCACAACAAGTACGTGCGGCAGCCACCGCATGTCGCAAGCAGCATTGGCAGCTGCAGTTTGCAGCAAGCCCGTGCCTCTGGCCACATTGGCGAGGCAGGCGGGACCAAGCGAAGTGCTGTCGCAAGGCAGCGCCCCGCTCACAGGCCCGCCGGTTCGACGACAGGCGGTGCTGGGGGGCGGCTTGACAAAAAACTTGTTGCTAACTGCCCGCCATTTTTTGCCCGTGACAGTTGCCAAGCTGCAAGGCAGGCCACGGGCAGGCAGGCTTGTAAACATGTCGTTGATGTTTTTGATGTCCGTTGCTGGCCACTGTGGCGGGAGGTTCTGGTCAACTGTTGCGCTTGGTTCTGGCAGCAGCTTCCTGCGAGACACGAGCCGCCGCCCCGTCCAAAGGAGCACCAACGGCCCGAAGAATACCATGTTGAGAGCAGGCTGCGCGGTGGCCCCGGGACTCTGCGACTGCAACCCCCGAAAAAAATAAACAACTAGTCATCATCCAGCAGAAAGCCTCTGTCAACTGACTGGGGGCCCAGCGCCGCCCCCTGAACGGGACCAACCGGCGCAAACGAGCCTTACCACCCCGAGATGCCGTTTTTCGTGCCTTTGTTGCATGCCGCTGCTGGCAAATGGGCCGTGACAGCCTATAACACCTTATCTCGCGACGGCTGGTAGCAGGGCACAGACAACGCCACGCAACACCAGCAAGCAAACAGCATCCCCAGCGTTCCTGAGCTGAGGTATATATATATATATATATAAAGACTCCTCACGAGAAATATGACCTGGTGTCATATTTGATATAGCTCCCATATAAAAATACTTCATCACCATTCAGCATTATGCATCCTTCTCTTTTTTCTCACTCACGGCTTGGGGGTGTTGGCGCGTGAAACTGCGTGACTCCCACAATGCCAAGCAGGACGTCATCCGCTATGGCTTATCTGACCGCCACTGTAACCCCCATGCCACTCTTGCCACTCTAGCGTATCGCATTTGGCACATCGCTAAGTTCTGCTTCTGTTTCACTTGGGGTTGTTCCCAAATCTCGGCAACCTGTTTAGAAGGAGCATCAGCTGGATTTGACCTTTCTTAGGGATCACGTTGTTTTGGCCAGGCCGAGATTGATCGTGCTAGCCACATGTGAGACACTGGTTGTTTTTGTGGACGCTTGCCACGACGATGGGAAAGCAGGGCTGGGGGCCGTCCTGTTGGCCAGTGAAGGCCAAAGGGGAAGTTTCTTCAGCAGATGGCTCGCCGAGTCCGAGCCCTCACTTCTGAACTTGACAGGGAGCGCGAACCCCATTTTTGAATTAGAATCATGTGCAGTTGCGGTGGCGCTGCAAACCTGGAGGAACTTGTCCAACCGCCAGTTGTTGTCTACACAGACAACAACGGCACAAGGGCAGAGCGACAGCGAGTGCGGCAGACTCCTCATTGAGTGGACCGAATCGTGGGAAAGGGCGAACAATTTGCCCGCCTGTGCTTCGAAAGAGTGCCTAGCCATTCAGCGCAAGTTCAAGCTTCTCATGCAAATGGCCCCCTCTTGGGAAACGGCTCACGAAATAATTGAGCGCACCCATCGCAAGCGTGCTCGAAGCCAGTTCTCCCGGCGCGTGCGCTCCTTGTGACAGAATTCCCCCAATGGATTCCGACAACTCTGATATTCTCTTCTGAATGTTTTTCAAGCTGCAAGCGAAAAGGTGTGAATCCCCGAGGCCCACTTCCAACGCGAGGACCTTTGCAACAGTTGAAAAAGCAACAAGACCCGAATGCCCCTGCCAAGAGATATGTTTGGTAAAGCAAGCGAGACAAAAGGATCTGCTGGGCATACAATCTGGGCGGCTGTGACGGTGCAGGCGACAATGAGTCGTGCAGTCGCGGCAAGCATGTCCGTGCTGAGACATGGTGTGAGAAAGCAAGCCCCATGAGTAAGCGCCGCTGACCTGAGATGGATGGCAAGTGGTAGCAGCTTTCCCGTTCTTTTTTTTTTTTTTTTTTTTTTTTTTTTTCTCGCGCCTTTTTCCGTGCAGCGAGGGTGAGACCCGTTCAATAATCTCACCAGGCTGCTTTTGGTAGAGGTTTTTTCCGGGAGCCGTTAGGCGCGTCGGGTTGGCAGAGAGCATAGGTGTCGACCATGTCATTGCCAAGCAATGCGCAGCCCCGACAATGATTTTGGATTCACGCCTTTTTCCGTCCAGCGACAGTGAGACCCAGGGAACCCTCAACCCCCCCCACCCGAAACGGCCGCCGAGAAAGGTGAACGAAGCGCGCGCGCGCCGACGTGGCGACTAGCGGCGCAAAGCAGAAGGCTGGGCCCGGACGGGCCAGCCAAAGCAAGGACATCGGCGAGGTCGGGCTCGCCTTGCACAGCCGGCCGCGCGAGGGAAAGCAAACGCCCTCCGAGCAGAGTGGAAGCGAGGGCGCGCTGCAAGGCGGCGCTGAGCAGTGCCCACCACCTGCGGCGCCAACCCGCCTCGGCCGCGCGGCGGACGGCTGGAGGCGCGCGGAGTGCCCGGAGGCGCACCAAGCGATTAAGCCGCACGCCTCGGGGCCCCACCGCCCGCCCGTTTCACAAGCAAAAACGACCAGCCGCTGCGGGCCAGGCCGGCGAAGCTCCGGGTACCGCGCCTCCTTGCGGCGCCGCGCTACCGCAATCCTCCTCGGCCGCGCGTGGCTGCGGTCGGCCGTCGCGACGGAGCGGAGCAACGAGCGTGGCGTCGCAGCACAGCGCTTCGCCCAAGCGCGTGGCGCCGTAAAGAACAAGATCCAGTCCTGCGCACTGACGCCTGGCGCAGAAGTGTTGGCCAACCACTGCTGAGGGACAACCCTACGGCAGCAGTGCACTGCGCGACACAGCGTCAAGAGCAAGAGAGATATTCCGCTGCGGACCTTGTCCAAAGCCGCGGAGATCAGATGTGAATCCCGATGGGTGCCCATGGATTTATGGCATCAACGCTACAAAGGTTGCAGCTACGAACGCGCTTTACAGCCTAGGGGATTCTCTTCACAGTTGAAAAATCCTGCGCAGCCGTTGTTTTGGGAGAACAAGTTTGTGGTTGCGGACATATTGCATGTTTGGATCGTCCACCTTATGCCGAAGTTTTCCTTTTTTGATCAATGAACTCAAACACATTTTCACACTTGTCGGGCCTCGTCATTTAATCCCAAAACAATTTTCCAACGATTGGAGTGTGCCTGACGGTGTGACTTGATCAAGCAGTGTTGGAGTCGGCAGCAAAGTTATACCAACACAATGGCAGGGGGGCATTGTAAGACCGGGAGCAAAGCTGACCTGGAGACAAAGATCCCCCCTTGCCGTAGTGCAAGCGACGTAGGGGGTGGGGATTTGTTTTTCAATCAACGTAGGGGGCGGGTCATTTTATTTTTTCAGGACCCTGTGGCTTGCAACGCGGACAGTCGAGTCACCCGGCACACTGCCTCCTTCGCCGCGCGTTTTGACCCGGCACGCTCAATTGCGGGACCGGACGTGCCGCAACCGTGCCCGCGTGCCGGGTCCTTCGTTGGACCTTGTCACTCAGCACGAACTAGGCGCGCCGGCTACGCCGGGCCTTGTGAAATGGCGCGCTGACCTTGTGAACCTGCGCGCCGGGTCCTACGCCGGGCCTTGTGAAATGGAGCGCTGACCTTGTGAACCTGCGCGCCGGGTCCTACGCCGGGCCTTGTGAAATGGAGCGCTCGGCCTTGTGAACCGGCGCGCCGGGCTCTACGCCGGGCCTTGTGAAATGGCGTGCTGGGCCTTGTGCACCGGCGTGCCGTGACCCGGAAAGCTCTCAGATGCGTGGTGCGGCGCCCTGGGCCGTCTGCTGCATGAGCCCAACTTGAACATCCCACCCGGCGGCGCTCACAGCAAGGTTTCAGGCGCGGCTGACACACACTAAATCAGCAAGCTGGCTCCGGCCAGTGCTTGACGTTCTTTGAAGCACAGGGAGAACAATTGCGGAAGCGGCGTCCGACCGCCGTTTCGGCCAAGTGACCTGAAGCCTTCTTTTTCACCCGCCAAGAACAGGTTCCAGGACACTTGCAAAAACCCAAGGTAGACGAAGCACTGAGCTGACTGAGATGTGGCCCACGCGCCTGCGGCACATCTCTCTTTCACAGGATCTCCGGCAGCAGCTTGTCGAGTGCGCAGCAACGCCTCATGTCTCAAGTAGTTTGGCTTGCTTTCTGCGAATTGGTAAACAAGGCGGAGGGCCAGCTCCTTGCCTTCTGTGTGCTCCTACCTTGGGGCAGCACGCCTGCCCTTTTCTTTCTCATTTGTTTCTTATTCAATCACCTCCTGAGAAGGAATGCAAACCAGATGCGTCATGATGCGCAAAGCTGCAACTTGCCAAAAAGGCAGTTTCGCGAAACTGCTTCTTTCCATTTAA